TTATTTTTCTAGTATTACGTCAATATCATTGGATTAATATCATTATTGGTTATCCGGCCTTTGAAAGAAATTCCAAAAGTATTATATGGGAATTTAGAAATCTGCTATTTTGATAGAGAAAAGAATCCAGAATAAAATAATTTTAAATATCGATTCATCGGTGAAAAACTGTCTCTAAATTTTGAATTACAAGAACAAAAACTTTATGTGAGTGGTTAAAGCCTCAAAGAAGAATTAATTTTTCTATTAGTTTTATTATTTATGAATTTGGCTTCACTTTAGACTTAAATAATTAACACTTTTCAGTTTATATAGAAAATAAAAAGGTGGTTTATCGATGTCCAATATTAATTAGACAATAACGTCACTTGGGCTTAAGCTACTCAATCACCATTTCAAAAGCTTATGAATTCGACTCCTACAATGAATTTGTCATAAATAGATTTAGAATCTTAGGGCCTTCCTCCCTGTCTTCCAAATCCCAACCTCCACCAATAAGATCCCATCAAATTTTAAAAACAAATGAACAATGCGATTAAAATTGAGAAAAGAAAATTAAAGATGCAACAGAAGGAAGAAAAAAAGTGCTCCAACATATGTTTTTCTTGACCAGGGAAAAGTACCCATTAACAAAAAAAAAAAGACTTACAAGAAAAAAAAACAGAAACGCAAAAAAACACAGCCCAAACAACTAAGCCCACAGTCACAAATGCTAATCCTAAACAAAGAACAAGGGGAGCAATGAGCCGACCTTCCATGTCGCTGTACCACCGCATCAAAGCCCATGACAGAGAAAAATCAAAAATGCCGCTAGTGGCAACAAGACCACCATAAGGGGTGGGGGTTCAGAGAACCACCCGCTAGGTCCCAACCCTTTTATCGCAAGAATAGGAGAAACCCATTGTCGCAGAAACATCCATAGACAAAGGCAAAGGAGAAACAGCAGAGGGAAGGGAAAACCTGACCACCAACCAAGCAAGCAATAGCACCAAATGGACAGAAAGCTTTCTACCTCTCTCATTCTCAACACGCCACCACCAAACAGAGCCAATTAAAACCATCTGAGGAGTAGAATGAGCAAAATCGCCAACAATCTTTACAAACCCGACCTCAAAAATGCCAATCAGAGCAATTAGAAGTAGATCTAAGAAAACCACCATCGAGTAAGAGCTATTGTAAAAACAGGTCTTATTTCTGAACCGATAGAAAGAAGCTCCATCAGCAAAACCAAACAAAAGACAAGAAAAAAGGACAAACAAAACAAGAAAAACCAAAGCACAGATGTCGCCTCGTCCGGCGGAAGCCGCAGAAGAAGACATCGTGTACTCACACTCGTGCCCACCGCCTTGGAAAGGAAACTCGAGAGTGGGGGAGCATCTGATAGAAATGCTCCAACATATCTAACGATGAGAAATTTAATTATAAATCAGACTAGTTTAAAATTCCCGACACTCTAAGTCCCACTCAATTACAAAAAACCAAGTCTCCTCCATATGTCATATATTTTTAACTTCTGTAAAAGCCAAGTGTCAACAATTGTCTCATGTTAATTTTATGTCACTAGTTTTTGCAAATAACACATATAAGCTGTAATAATTTGGTTGTTGTTTTTTTACAACCTGAAGTCTATAAATTCGGGCTTTTGTTATTGTGAAAATACATGTTGAAGCTATGTTAAAATAATATTAGTGTATTCCCCATGAACGCCATCTAAATCTTCTTCACTTTCCCAATAGCTTGATTCGGTAATGTATGAACGTTGCAAATACTTTTTTTAGGAAGTCTGTCTTGTTTTGACTTGGATTTCTTAGGCGAAGGTTGTTTTGACTTGCAGGTCGTTGAATTGGGGTTTATCATCTTAGAGCCTTTGTGTTTTTCTTCCTGCCGAGAAGATTGGGTCTTGGGATTTGGAGATCGGCGTTTCTGAAAGAACCTCTATGGAAGTTTCTAACTCAAGCAATAGGGGTCTGCTTTTGACTTCAGCGGTGGCATTGGAGTCGATCTACAGTGGAAGTGGCGGCACTTGAGGCCATCAGGGTGACGCTTCAAGACTTCCACAGCAATGACGCAGCAGCCCACAAAAAATAGGAGATATTTCACAAGAGGTTGACACGCTGTAGTTACACATGGAGGAGCTGAATATATTTGATGGCTAAACTGGCACGCTATTGATGGGAGGGGGAATGAGAAAATAGCAGCAGAGGAGGAGAGAGGCGCACTGCAGTAAGGTCAGGAAAAAAAATACAACTAGGAAACAAGGTGACGCAACTCGGTTCGTACTTTATTCATAGAAGGCTAGTCTAAATTTGTATTTTAATATTTGGATCTTATCGCTTCCGGGTGCAAGTGCCAAGTGCTACCTCCGACGTTAAATATTAAAGTTAATTAAAGATTTAATTTGTTAAAAACACACTAGAGACTTAATTTATTTTTAATAATAAAATTTCAATTTGTTTTATTTTTTACATTTATTTATTTTTTTAACCTGCTCCTTCCTTCAAAGTTGTCATTCTTTAAGGGAAAAAAAACCTCAAAATATACTTTTAAAATTTCAGGAATGATGACCACAACCTGTCTGTCCATTATTATTAAAAATGTAAAACAAAAACAAAAAAACAATGCCCATTTATGAAAATTCAATTTAGCAAACTCCCTTCACATGATATTACGACAACCAAGCACAATTACAACGACAAAATAAGCCTGTACTTTATTCACAAACTAAACTTCCCAAAAGCCAAATATCAAGTTTACAAGACGCCATCATACTATCGCACGGAATCGTCTTCCGTTGTTTCACTCCCATTCCAAAGGTCCTAACTCCCAGAAACACGCTGCTTCACAAAACAAATGCCCTTTTTCACTTTATAAGTTCAAACTCCCACCCAACCCAACACACTTTCGACTATAAAACAGAGAGAAAGCACAGAATGGCATTCTTTTTAAGAAATCTGGATAGCTTTAACATCAGGCTTCTTAACCTCTGCCTTTGGAACAGTCACAGTGAGGACACCGTTCTCCATGGAAGCCTTCACCTGATCCATCTTAGCATTCTCCGGCAGCCTGAACCTCCTCATGAATTTGCCGCTGCTGCGCTCCACGCGGTGCCATGTGTCGTTCTTGTCTTCTTTCTCCACGTTCCTCTCTCCACTTATCTGAAGCACCCTGTCATCTTCCACCTCAACTTTCACCTCATCCTTCTTCAGCCCCGGAAGATCCGCCTTGAACACATGCGCCTCTGGCGTCTCCCTCCAATCCACCCGTGTGCTCACAAATGCAGAATTATCTCCAGAAGTGGTTGAGAGAGAAGAAGGGAACGGTAAATCCCTAAAAGGATCCCAAACGTCCAGAGAGAAGGGATCGAAGATGTTGCTCCTTCGGCCTCCAAAGAAACTGGGAATCAGCGACATTTTCGAATTTCCAGAAACACAACGAAGATGAAATATTGCAAGTAAGGTAAATGTTTTGCAAATGCTTTCGGTTGTGTTCTTCCTTGATGCCAAAAGGAAGGGACAGGGTGGGTATTTAAACTGATGGGAGGAGCCATCTAGCCCTTGCGGGTGAAGTTGTGGGAATTCGAGAATGTTTGGGAATGTTCAAGGCCAGCGTCCACCGACCTCGAAGGAAGTGTCCAGAATCCACATTAGTGCGTGGGCTCTAAGGCCCAAATATTTGGATTCGGCCCATGTCAGCCTTCCTTCAATAATCAATACTTGATGATTCATTTTGCATTTAACAATTGCTTTGACGTTGGATCAGTACTAACTGAATATCTCCCGGTGTTGGGTCCAAAATTGCTTTGACTTGCTTTTTAATATTTAATAACAACTAATGTTAATAATATGCAGGTTTATATTTGTATAATTAATCATTCATAATATATAAATCCTTTTAATTACGAATATTTTTAATTTTATACATTTTCCTCTATTCAAGGGGGAATAATGTTTAATAGGGTTCTTAATCAAAGGTACAGGTCTTTTCACATTTTATGAGATCAAAAATAAACTCTTCAATTTTGGTATAATTTTCTCCCATAAATCTGATTGAACGAAGACTGTGACCACTTTTGTTGACAGTAATCAGATCATTTCACACTCAACCTATCAAATTTAATATCCTACGGCATGATATTTGAAGCTTCTTGATTTAAAAATTCAAGTCATGATAAACGAAAACCAACAAACAAATGGAATGAAGGAATGGTATAAAAAAGACGATAATCATGTTCCGGAGAGAAAACAAAATGAAGATATTAAAGACAATTAAACTAATTCTTAAAGGGATCAAATAATTTAGGCTTTGAAAGAAAGGCGGGGCATATGCATAGCAATTAAACAAAGAAAGTCAAAAGCCACATGTATTTGTAGACAAACAGTAAGATATAGTTAAAATAATGGATATAAAACTCCGGTTTGAACAATGAATTCAGCAACAAGAAAATTTCTCAAAAGGCATTTCCTAAAAATATTAGGTAAAAGTATATTTTTAATTCAGTTTGCTTTTTTATTTGCCACATCCAAAATAGATAATCCCCAGTGTAGCAAAATCATTATCAAAAAAAATAGACGTCCATCTTTATTGCTCAGTGGAGGAAAGAAAGATAAATAAGAAAAATGGAGTTAATAATAATCAAAGACTGACATTTTGTAAATAAAAACAAAAAAAAAAACCTTTACTTGATGAGAAGAGAATAACACATTCCATTTGCATCACAGAAAAAAAAAAAAAAAAGAATAACACATTCCATTTGCAATCCCTGAGCAAACTAGTCAGCGAAGACCTGAGATTTAGACCTGGATTAAAACAAATAGAATACACATTCCATTCAACTTTTTTAGATGCCTCGCTATCTGTCTTGTTTATAATACAGTAATACTCGTATTAAGGACGCAAAGTCAATGATCACCATCCTTAGGTTGCCTCTCGTGAGAGAACCACTTCGAGCTACCTATGCTGTAGCTGGCCCTGCGCTACAAAGATGATGAAAAAAGAATTTGAATGAATAATATTTACAATTATCAAACAACTCATACTATAATATCGTCATCAACTCAACACTACATTCTGAAATGTCACTCCTTTTTCCCAACATCATCGTTTTCCTAGTCCTTCATGTTCATGAATGGCAGAGATTCCTCTGACATTATAGTCAGCAACGAAAACTTGGCCTTCACTGAGATTCTGCTATCCTCCACGCAGAGCTTTGCTCCGGTGACCACCCAATACCCCGGTACATCCTCCGGGCCCCTCACCATCTCTTTCGTGTCCACATAGTTCAGCATCTTCTGAGCCCTCGTCGGCACCGGCGGTCCATCTTCATACACGGCCGAGTTTATATTCACCTTTGTTGACTTCTCCGGCGTGTTCTGCAACAACTCCTTGCTCAACCTCGTGCTCATCAACGCTGAGAAAAACCCCGATTTTCGAGACATTGTTGAAGCTCCGGCCCACTCTGATCGGCGAATTCTGGCCGATGCTACAGAGGAGTACCCAAGTCTGAGGAAGAGAACCTTCTTCATACCTACGAGCTTTACCTCGAACCATGCCCTAGTGACTATACCGATGGACTCATCAAGTCGGGAGGGGTTGTACTCAACTGGTGCTACACATACGTGAGAGAACATGTTCCATTTCACAGGTTCATAGTACCCTTTGTCCACGGATTCATCTGTAGGATTATAGCTATGGTCGTACGAGATGTCGAGGATGCTGGGAATCTCTGAAAGATGCTGAAGATGGATGGCTAGGTGGTCGTTTTTTCTACCTTCTAAGTACAAGCGAATACCAGTTACAGGCCTATTTCCAGTGTCAACCTGCAAAATTGTAAATAGCTAATTAATGGATGACTTCACAGAAATTTCCGTGTTTTGTAATTTCATCACTCTAACTTAATTACCTTGGCAGTATTAACAAAAAGCTTGGGTCCCATGAGAGTGAACTGAAGTGATGGAGACATGTTCCTTCTCTGTATATGACCAAATCCGAGAGGCAGATCACCATACATGGGAGCCCATAACCGAGGCAACTGGAATTCCAGAAACTGATGAAGCTCTTCAATTGGAGGTTTATCTGCAAAATTCACGCATTGTTTATAGGATCATCCCAAAGCATTGTTTATAGACCAAAACGTATCATCACAGAGGGATTAGTCAACTCACATCTAAGGTATAAGTTCACCGCATGACTCAGAAAAATACTGCCTGGAACAGAACTGCTTAGCAGGGAAGTAATAGGTACAAATGACATCGATATCACATCAGGAGACTGTGATATGGTTGAGAGCCACTCGTTGAAAGATTGGCCAGCATCAATTCCTCCCTTTCGAACGGTAATGCTTTGAATCTCCTGTACAGATTATAGGAATTTGTTAAGTCAAGTCCTATCCAAATCTGTCACATGCAAGTTGATCAGATATTGCTCAGTTAATGAAATTTGAGAGAGATACTAACATCGTTCTTGGAATGGCTTTTCACAATTGGTCTGCCACTAAAAGGGAAAGATTTGCGAAACCCCCACGACTTAGCATGATCGTCCTGCATAAAGGGAAAAAGAAAAGGGAACATTTAGCAAAATTGCAAGATGCGGTGTCCCCTTTATTAGAAATTAAGCAGTATGATGAATCTGCACCTTGAGTTTTCCTGATATTTCGGCGGCATTGACATTGAAAGTTTGGTTTGAATTACCAGAAAACCTCTCGTCAGCTAATTGCTTTAACAATTTCTGCACGTCCTTGGGCTCAAGATCTGACTTTTTGGACTGCTTGATATGAATCACATCCTTACCACCCATCTTCACCCCAACAACAACATGAGTCCCATAATTGGCAATAAACCTGAAGAATCACCAAAACAGTTCAGTGCTCATCCAAAATTAAGAATCCAAAAAACATCACCACAACATCACGAAGAAGATTTTGGGGGGGGGGGGAGACAAAAAACCAAGTCAACACCAAGAACAAAGAGGCTTACTCAGCAAGGGCAGAGGGGTTCCACGAAGAAGGCACTTCTCTTATCAATTCCTCTGAAAGAGTAATATTGGATCTGCTTAACTCAATGTTATACAATGTTATGAACCAACCATCTAAAGCCAGGCTTTTTGTGGAAGCCGCATCCTTTGGCCAGCCATTTTTCATGTCAAACATCTGATTGAATTGTCCAGATGGAACCTTTCCCGATAGGCCCAGCTCTTTATTGAATAGCTCCGACATCTGCAATATCACAAATTCACTTAATTCTACCACATCTCATCTAATCTTCCAGATAATGCCTCTTGATTTTATTCTCAATCTCTCAAAGACAGCGACCCCATGACATGATCAACAGTACTAATAACTGTTTCAAATTATCCAAATAAAGAGAACTAAGTGCTGCTAAGAGGGAGCTACAGCTAAACCACTTAACCGGACATAATCATTAGCAAGAGACGAAAAAAGTTAACAATCACCGGATTAAACTTCAGCACGTCGGATTGAAACCTAGTGCGCTCCCCTTTGTCGCACCTGATGGAAGCTGACACGTTAGGGACGACAATCCCACCTGGGAAAACGAGGTCCCTTGTCTGATTCGAATCGAACGTTATCAAACTAGAGCCAGAAGGACCCTTCATGCAAGCCGAAAATCGTATTCCTTTGCATAGATCAAAACCAAGACCAATGACGGAGACGGCTTTTTCCGCCGTCAAGTGAGGCTCTAATCCGGCATTATTACTAGCGAAACCCATTGTTAGTTCTTAGCTTAGGTGTCGCTCTATTGAGGTTTCTGAATTTGCAGCGACAGAAATAAAAAAGAGGAGGAGGAGGAGGAGGAGGAGATGACCCCATTGGGGAAGTCTACGCTGTTTGGAATTCCACGGTTGGAGGTTCAAAGGTCTACGCGGGGAGTTTTTTTTCTCTCAAAAAGAAGATAGATAAATAAATAAATTTATTTTACATTGTTGCTTTTGCCGGAGTGAAAGTGACTGAGAATTGTTTTATAAAGGTTGGACCTTTGAAGAAGATGAGAGACGAGAGCCGAGACAGCTGGAGTGAAGACACAGAGGTACAGGGAGGCGGCGGTTCCGAGGAGGGGGTTTGTCCACGTGGCAAAATGGCATTTGACGAAGACAAACACAGTGGAGCATAGACTGGGAGAACAAGTCATAACTACCGTGCTGACTGTTGACTCGGAAAACGGTTAACGCGAAAGAATCCGTGTGGCACAGTAGTGTGAAGTGTGAACGTAATTTCCCCCCATCTTTTCTAGCTCTATCGTACCACCCTTTTTTGGAAACTGCGACTTCATTTCATAAAATTGTTTTTTATTTTTTTGCCAACCATATGCAAGAAAAACACGAGCAGGACAATCAAGGCGAAGTAACAGTTTAGTTACGAAGGTGTCTTTATTATTATTATAATTATATTATTCTTCTTTTAGGCCATATTTATTGATTAGTAATATCACGATCAATGGGGTGTTTGAAATTCCCATTCAATATAAGAAATTATTGGGCCACAGACCTAAAGAATTTGAAATTACTCTATTTATGGCAGATTAAAAAGCGGGTGCTATTCTGCCATCTAAAAACTTCTCGTTGATATACACTAAAGGATGAAATAATTAGCGCAAGCATTATCAAAACATTATAATTAATAGGTTAAACTAGACACTTTCACATGCATTGAACGAAATTTTAGATGAGTACTCCTAGTTTTTATTTATTACTATTTCTAGTTCAAAATACAAGTTAGTACATTATAAGCTAGATTTTACATCTAAAACTGAAAGTAGTAAGAATTACTTAACTGGTTTAAATATATTAAAGAAGTTGAATAAATTAGTTAATTATGATTTTTTTTCAAAATATTTTGTATAACATTGAATTATATACCGATTAATAACTTGAATAAACTAATTTAAAATATATATATATAAAGATAAAAGACAAAAGAGATTCCTATCTTATATTTAAGATTAAATTCTATACATTTACTGACTCTTATATTAGAAATTAAGGTAGTTGTAATCATAATTTATGAATTAGATGTAAATATTTCAACAATGCCCGGTTGAATCCGCGTTCTCACAAGTCATAAAACGATAAATCATACGGGAGACTCTCGTTTGGACAATTACTATTGAGGGGGAAAAAAAGGCAAATACCAGGAGACTTGGTCTTCTCCTATTTTGTCCAAACTTCTCTGCACCCGTCGTGACAAAAGGTGCCGGAAATTTTGGATTATTATGATTTAAAACCGCGTGGAATATATAATTCGGCAAAAATTGTTTCATAGCAAAGTGACCAAAAAAAAAAACTCCTTTTTTGCTTTTGGTACCAGGATTATGTTGGGTAAGCTTTCCTATTTTATAATCAGACTTCGACTTGCCTTCATTTGACTTTAATCAATGATTACGTGAAGGCCTTTTATTTAGGACGAAACTTGACGTCTCAGAAATTTGATTCCTGCACATAGGAACACCACGTTATGAGAAAAATCAAATTGTTGACTTCGAGGCGCTTGCCATTGTACCCTGGAAAATTACAAAGGATTTACGATGAAGCTACATGGGTTTTTTTCACTCACAATGCAAAATTAACTGCCGAAATGCTACATGGTGAGATTTCTCCAAATGCTATAGCGAAAGTTGTGGAGAGTAGCAAATGTGCTCCCTCGCATTGAGAAGATTATGTATTTACTATTCTGGATTTTTAACACAAAATTTAATTTAATATTCAATTTGGTTTTAAATATAAGATTTCAATCTAATTTGTCTTTCATATTTATTCTTTTTTTTTAAGGTAGTTTTTGGAGTAGTTGCACTTGCATATGTTAAAAATTTCATCAAATGATGGTTCCAACTAATATATATGATTGGTAATGGTATTATAGGAAAAACATAACATATTTATTACAAATAACTAACTTAATTAATTTATTTAATTTACTTAAATTAATTAAATAACTCTTGTATTAAGGACCGATGGTAGTATTTGGAATGGCAGTAAGATCCTTGAAAAGCAGCTTTTGTAATTGTGATTTATAAAATATAAAATAAATTTGTTATGAAAATTTTGTTTCAACTTACGTAAATATATTTGTAAGTGTTTTTATTTTAAACAACCCCAAATAAGCATTGTGTGTTGATGAAATAAACTTTTAACACTGCCTCTGTTCCTAAATATAAGAGTTGATTTATAATATACATTATATTTTACACTATAAACTAGCTCACATATTTGGGATTGGAAGCAGTGGGTATTTTATCTTCACTGCTTTTAAATTTTAAGCGCGAATTGCCCTAAAGGAAATTCAACAAAAGTGGTCTAAAACATCGCCAGAACAAATGGTATTTGAACTGGTCTCTCAAGGCCTGCTTCGTGTCAGTTTTCTAGGCCGTAAACGGGCTTCTTGTGTTTTGTAACCACAAATGGACTTTAATAGTCCACTAGAGTGTTGGGCTTCTTGTCACCAAAAAAGAGTGTTGGGCTTCCACCCCCCAAAAACAGGGCCTTCGTATCCCAAAACCACTTCTGCTGCTCGGGAGTACCACTTTGTTGTGGTTCCAGTCATAGCATTTAGGGAGGCATCTTAGCTCCTGGATATCTATGTAAACGCCTGAGGGTAATTGATGGCTCGCCCTGCCCAACATTGGTATGACCTAAGAAGAAGGGAGATTTCGCCCTGCCTTTGGATCGTGGATGAACCTAACCCCTTTCCAAAAATTTTTGTACCAAAAAAAAAAAACTCCTATGGCTTATATAGGATGCCGATTTAATTAGTTTAGCTCGTAGCAGTGCTATGATTAATATTTAGCCCGTATTAATTACGTGTTTCGCTCTCTTGTGATATAAGTTACTCTAAAAGATGCGTACTTCTTGTTCAGTTTTTAAAACTAGTGCAAAACTGCAAATGTTGCTTAACTTTGTATTGCATGCTTGACAATGTAACGCGCACAGGTCCAAAACTAGTGCGACTTTATATTTAACTAATGAATATATATTTAAAAATACTTTCACTATTCATTTGTACAAGAAACAACTACTATTACCTACCACTTATTTCTAAGATGCATTTAGAAGATTTCTTATGCTTTTTTTATTAATTTTTCATTTCGCCTATTTAATTACTTATTTTAATGGCAATGTAGTTATTATCACACCGCCCTTTAAGATTTTTCTCCATCATATATTTTCTCTCTTTTACGGTTATTTTTATTTTAGTAATTTTTTTATTTTTTTCCTCATGCTTTCGTCCCATAAACAAAGATATGTAAAAAAAAATTACAATTTTTATATATTTATTATTTTTAATCAATTTTAACTGACTTTTTTATCAATATTTTTTGGTCAAATATTCTTATAAAATGGAATGGAGAGTGTATTTCTAAATGAAATGAGAGAAATGTTACTCAGAATATATGGAGTATGATAACGTATACATTTTATAACAGGTATTTTTTTTCTGGCCAGTGATTATTGCGAAAAAAATAAATTAAAAATGCGGAGTAATGCATATGGTCCATGACTCCATGGAGGGTTAACATCTAATACATAAATCCGGTCTCCACGTCCATTTTACCACATAAAAATGAACGCACTTGATAGATATTTATAATATTTTTTTTTGGTATTTATTTTTAGTCACTATTTTAACAAAGGGCATTACAATGTTTTGTGCCCATTTTCTTTTTAATCTTCTTTCCTCCCCCATTATGTCGATGTACCAAACAAGGAACAAGATTCTGTTTTTTTGGGTTCCAAATCCAAAGTAGACTTTGCAATTACACAATAATTATGTTTTTGGTAGACAAAGATTTTCCATTACAGATAATAAAAATATTCATTAATGTTCATTCGCTCGCGGGTCTCCGCTATTCATTTCTGATTCGTTATCTGCCCACTAATTACTTATCATTCATGCTGCTGATTTTTTTCCCCTTTGAACGTGCGTTACAAATATTTTTTAACTATTGATTCCGTCAGAAAAAAATTAATATCCTTGATTTGAAGGAGATATTTTCAGTCTAATTCAATGACAAGAAAAGATGGGAATAACTGTACGAAAAAAGAAAAGAAGAGAAAAGGTAGGGTGGAAATAAACATTTTTTATATCCGTGGCTGGAATTATTAATTTTGCTCCTTTTTTCCTTATCTGGATTGCGTGAAGAAGTTGGGATCGGAATATTTAAATTCTTAACTTTTTTTATTGAGTGAATCGTAAGTTGTCCCGGTAACAAACCCATAATTAATAAAAATGTCGATATACAAACCCATAACTAATTTTAAAAAAATGTTAGATATAAACAAACCATCTCAATTAAATTAATTATATAAACCCATAATGAGGGGTGAATGGCATTAGCAGTCAGGTCCTGCCTTGAAATTTCTAGTAACCATATAATACTATTGTGCTTTATTACAATCTTTCTTATTTTAATATTTCGCTCAACAATTACAATCGGTAGTACTTCATAAGGAGAATCAGCTTATAGAATTATTTAATCCGTTTTTGTCCCAGAACAAAAATTACACCGCGACACTTAAGATGGTTTTGTAGAAAAAGAACGAGACGGGCTTCTAAGTTTCATATATTTCCCCGGGTCCTTAATGCCCTATATGTATATTTAAATAAAGAGGCTGTATCATATTTATTATAATTTATTTATTTATTTAATACATTTAAGATAATTAAGCAGTTATTTATATTAATAAGTTTTGAAAAAACATACTACATCTGTTTTTAAATATA